GACACTTGTCTCCATCTTTGAGGGCCAGGCATCGAGCTCTACAAATCTCAGGCTCTGCCTTCCAGCAGGCAGAGTGTCAGGAAGGCCCGCTTTAACCCTCTGACCTGCTCAAGCCTGCCCATCGGGTTAGTTGGAAACCCATGATTGCTGGCTGGGAGAGGGGGTACATGAGCAGAGAGTGAAATGGAAAGCCCCGGGAGGCCAAAAACTCTCTCAGACAACTATCACCAGGTACAGCAAAGGCAGCAGGGGCCCAGAGAGGTGAAGGGACTTACCCAAGGACACACAGCAGTTAGAGACAGAACTGGGATTCAAGCCCTGATTTCTTTATCGCTGAAAAGGGAGTGGGTGGGTTTGAGGTACAAAGAGAGAGGCAGGACTTAGGGACAGGGAACTGGCATTGACTCCAGGCTTTACAGTTGACCCTCACCCACCCTTTGATATTATTATCCCCATTTTACAGGTGAGGAAACTGAGGTTCAGAGAACCTCCTGCTACAAGTAGATGTATTGAGATATGAGCCCAGAGGTGTTTGACTCCAATTGTGGGCTCGTTTCCCTGCTGTGAGGGTCTGGCCAGAGCTCCTTCCCCCGCACCTGGAGCCAGGCTGCCAGGGCTGGGGCATTGTCTGTGGCTGCCACAGCAGGTGCTCTGAATGCCACACCTGTGGTGCTCTGGGCACGTTCCTGAACTTCCCTGAGGCTCAGTGTTTTCATCTATAAAATGGAGATAAGAAAGGCCATCTCTCGGGGTGGTTGTGTGGGTCACAGATGAGGCATCTCAAGCTCTCCTTGCAGAGCTCAGCACATAGTAGGTGCTCACCGAGAGGCAGCTCTACTGCCCTAAGTCCCTCCGCATTAATTGTGCACAGAGGACCTACTGGGTGCGGAGCATCTCCTGGGGGACACTGGTGATTATAAAGCTGGGCCAGTCCTCTGGGGGAGGTATGGCCTCACAGCATGAAGTTTGGTGGTAACTTTGAATGCCATTATGTCCCATGAATAGGCGAGGGTCACATCGTCTTCACAAATCCCTGTGAGACAGGAACCACTGTCACCCCACTTTACAGAGGAGGAAGCTGAGGCTCAGGGAGGGGAAGGGACTTGCTCAGGACACAGCTTCTAAGTGCCAGACCGGGTTTATGACCCAGGCCTCCAGCCTCCTGAGTCCGTCTCAGCCAGCCCACTGGCCCGCCAAGTGGGGCAGCTGGCACTCGGGGCAGCTTGTATTCTGGGAGTTCAGAAGACCGTGTTTTGACTGAAGTGGTAGAAGTCTTCAGGGAAGAGAGAGAACTTGAACTGAGCCTTGATGGACTGGGCAAGTCAGAAAGGACACATAGTTATGGAGCTGGCGTGAGACTGACCAGCAAGGCCCTGTGTAAACGCACACAGACATCGGTAAACGCAGGGCCTGGCGCAGGGCTGGGCCAGGGGGTCTTGTGGCACCAGGGAAGGCGGTCCCAGGGGTCTGATGTGCTCTCGTCTCCTGTTTTGCAGTGAACTTGCTGGACACATCAACCATCTATGGGGACTGGGGCTGGCTCACGTATCCGGCTCACGGGGTAAGTGATGGGCAGTGGGCCAGAGAGCGGCTGTGACTCACAGAATCTAATCAGATAGATCAATAAGAAGCAGAGGCCCAGAGAGGTGAAGGCACTTACCCGAGGACACACAGCAATGAGAGACAGAGCTGCTGATTTTTTAACAGTTTTGTGTGCACAGAGCCTTGGGAATAGAGAACCACCCCCGGTGCTGGGCAACTGGTGCTTCATGTCTGAGGCCCCAGATGTGGGCTCCTCATGTCTGCGTCCTGGGTCTGCAGACTCAGGATGTGCCACAGCTGGGCCCAGGGTAGCCTAAGGCATGTCATTGTCGAGGAACAGGGCCAGGAAGGGCCCTATCCAGGGCTTTCACGGCTTCAGGATTGGTCCCCTCCCTCTCAGCTGCCCTGCCCTCACCAGGGGCTGTCAGGAAACTTGGATTCCCTGCTTGCTTCTCTTTTCCATCAGCACCACCTGGCTGGCAGGGCCAGCCCCAGGCCTAACCCTCGGGGCCCAAGAGCCAGTAGGGAACCCCTTCTGTGGCTGAGCAGGCCAGTCCTGCCTGAGACAAAGGCCGGGTCCTTGGGGTGTCCCTTTACCTCCCTGGGCCTCCGTCTCTCCCTGGGCCGTGCTCTCTGTGTGGCCCAGTTGGCTGTCTCCTAAGGGGGAGGAGGGTGAATAAGGATCTTGGCTCTGCCGGGGGCCAGGGGCTGGCCCATGAGGAGGGGAGTGCCTGGCTGTGGTCTGGGTCAGCATTTCCCCTGATGCCCCACAGCTAAGGGGGAGTGGGCCTGGCTCCAGGTTGGCTCTGGGTGTCTCTGTCGCCCTCAGATCTCAGGACTTGGTTTTGAGGGTAATGAGGAGTGGTGAGGATTTTAAGCAGGCGAGGAGCAGGACCTGGCTTGTGTAATTCTTTTGTTTGCAGGGTGCTGTAAAGTATGGCTCAGAGTCATCCCATTTCATTTGGGACTTAGAACAAATAATAACTTATATCCAATAGCTCTTAACAATCTACGGATGTTATCTCATTTAATCCCCACTCCCAAGCCTGCAAGCAGGTACAGCCACCCCATTTCACAGATGAGGACGCTGAGGCTCAGAGCACTGGGAGATCATTACTCATCAGACAGGTTCTAGTGGAGAGCGGCTACAGTGTTTGGACAGGTTCATGCCTCGGACTAATGAGAGGGCACGGTCCTCTCATGGCAAAGCCACGTGCAAGTCCCAGCTTGAAGGGCAGAGCCCTCCCAGCACAATTATAGCCAAAGGCCATGGTTGTAAGCTTGACCTTATGGTCCGAACCTGTAGTCCCACCTGGCTGAGTCATGTGGGCTTGATAGAGTTCAGGTGCATGTAATTGAGTAGATTCGAAACCCACGCGAATGTTGTAAACATCTTGACCACGCCCTTACTTTGCCTCGTAGAATCTGCTATAAAATAAAGACATGGCTTTCAGGCCGTGGCACTGTCGCTAGCTCTCCATTAGAGAGGACAGCGTTCCACCCAGACCCAGCTTTCATTCTCTTGTCTGTCTTTTCTCAATCCTTCACCGCCCCCTCTCAGGCTTACCGAACCTGGCTGAGCTGGCTCGGCACATATGGCGCCCAACGTGGGGCTGAGTATGCCATGGCCGTGCCGGCTCGCCACACTAAGTGATGGACTGGAACTCATATCTCTGAGCCTGGAGCCCGAGTTGAGTCCCTTCTGCCCTCTTTGGTCTCTGCCCTCATTGTGAGGTTGGGAGGCAGCCCTGCATTGTCCCCTGAGTTGTGGACCACCTCCTGTCTCTGTGGGGCTTGCCCAGGGAGAGAACAAGGCCAGAGGAGACCCCTGGCTCCCAGACTCGAGGCCTTGAACCCGAACTGGGCTACCAGGTGAACCTTGCCGATGCTGACATCCAGGGGGTCTAGGGAGGAGCTGGGATCTTTGGACTAATACGCCTTCCAGGTGAGTGTCCTGCCAGCTGGGTGGGGAGCCTTTGGAGATGGTCCTTGAGGTTCCTTCCACCCCTCTGGTCCTGCAGCCTGTTAAACACCCTGGTACAGGCTCACCCAGGACCGTCTCCAGCATCAGCAAAGTTATCAGATCATCAGGCAGACGGCTCAGCCTGAAGGCCGAGGCGCTGGGTCCCCATGAGCCGGTGCTCTGCCGCCTCCAGTCAGTGTGCCGCCGGCAAATCCTTTACCTCCCCCTGCCCCCATGTTTATAACGTGGGGACGGAAACACGGGCTCCGTGGAGTTGTCCTCTATGAGATGATGCATGAAAAGGACAGTTTACCGGTAACAAACCAGAAGCTCTGAGAGGTTAAGCATCTCTGCTAAGCTGGGGGGCGGGGGGAGGGGGCGGGGGAGTCTGGCCCCAGAACCCATGCTTTTCTCCAGGCTGCGCCCCTCCCTTTGCGCCCCGCCCTCCACACACTGGGCTGGCTTCACCTCTGGTAAGTAACAGCTGCCTCAGAGGAGGGCACACATTCCTTTCCGTTGTCTCACTGGGTCCTCCCCATCCCCCAGAGTGGATGGAATGGGCAGGCTGTGGCCACCCCATTCTGCATACGGAGAGGAGACCCCGAGGCTCGGAGAGGGATGTGATGTACCCAGGGCTGCCCAGCTCGTTCACCGCGTTCCGTTCGGGAGTTCCAGAGCAATGGTGGGGGTTGAGGGAGGAGGGTGCCAGGGCTAGAGAGGCAGCTGGGGTGGGGGTAGCGCCCAGCCCGGGATGGGGTGCCCCAGGTGGAGAGCAGGACGCATTCCACCTTTTTGCCAGCCTCCAGGAATTCCTGCCACTCTGGGCACCGGCAGCAGCCCTGGGGCTGGCAGGGCCAGGTCAGGCCGTTGGCATCGGTGGGGCAGCTGGAACGGACTTGAATAGAGCTGATTAATTTATCCCGGGCCCTGGCAGGAAACAGACAGGGAGCAGCTGGTTGGCTCTTTGGTGCTTTGTTAATTGTGACAGTGACTTTAACCCCAGATGTGACTGACACAGCACTGCCTAGAGACCCCAGCTGCGGGGTGGGGTGCAGGGCAGGGGTCCTCTTGGGGTGAGGGGTGCAGGAAGCATGATCTCTTTCAGGTGAGGCTGGCACACGCTGGGCTTCCCCCAGTGGTCCCCGGAGGCAGGCGCAGGCGGGCTGGGAAGATGCCCAGCGTGGTAGCGGCCCCACTCCTCGGTGCCTCTCTCTGCCAGGCCCGAGCGGCACACTGAGCAGGCTTGCCCTCCATCCTCAGAGGCCTTGGAGAGGTGGGCCTGTCTGAGCTCCGTTTCACAGCTGTGGGTGCTGCGGGTCCAGACCACAGGGCTGGCCAAGATGCGGTGGAACAGAGGGGCTGTGTCAGGCAGGAAGGACGTGAGGTGCCCGTGGTCCTCGCTCTGCCTCTTGTGGGCAGCTCAGAACCCCACGGCTTCTCAGGGCACCGCGAGGAGGGGTGGTGGTGGTGGCTTTTACCTTTTGCCCCCCTTTTCTTGTGACTCTATTTCTTTTTTTTTTTCTGTTACAGTTGACGTTCAATATTGTCTTATATTAGTTTCAGGTGTACTGCACAGTGGTTAGACATTTACACAATCGTAACCCCCATAAGTCCAGAACCCACCTGGCGCCATACACGGTTACCGCAGTACAGTGGGGCCTTGACTTACGAGTTTAATTTGTTCCGAGACGGAGCTCGTTAAGGAGCTCGTTAACTCAAATTACTCTGTCATCTCAATGCAAAAAATCGGCCTAGAGACAGCTGGTATCTCAAAAAACTCATTAGTCAGGACACTCGTAAGTCAAGGCCCCACTGTAGTATCGACTGTGCTCCCTGTGCTGTACCCTGCGTCCGGCACTATTTCGTGATTACCAATCGAAACTTCTGTGCCCATTAAACTATGACTCCCCACTGCCTTCCCCAGCCCCTGGCACCCCTGTTCTGCTTCCCGTCTCTCTGAATCTGACTGGTCTGAGAGCCTCCTGTAAGTGGAGTCATGCCGCAGTTGTCCTTTTGTGTCGGGTTTATCTCATTCTGTGCGATGTCCTGGGGGTCCCCCGTGTTGCAGCCTGTGTCTGCAGGTTGAATACTGCCCCCGTGCGTGGATGGGCCACATTCTGTGTGTCCGTTCATCCATCGATGGACACGTGATTCCACCTTCTGGCTGCTGTGAATGCGGGTGTGCGGATACCTGTCTGAGTCCCTGCCTTTATTTCTTTAGCATGTTCACCCCGAAGTGGAATTGCTGGACCATATGGTGATTCTGTGTTTGGTTTTCTGAGGAGCCACCATACCGTTTTGCACGGTGCCTGCTGTACCATTGTACATTCCCACCAGCAACAGTCCAGGGCTCCCGGCTCTCCACATCCTCACCAAAACTCGTTTCTTGCTGTTGTTTTGATCATAACTCATGGGTGTAAAGTGGAACCGCATTGGGCTTTTGAGTCACACTTCCCGACTGGTTAGTGATGTTGCGTATCTTTCCACGTGCTACGTAACCGTCTGTATATCTTCTTCAGAGAAATGTCCATTCAGGGCCTTTGCCCTTTATTAAATTGGGCTGCTTGTGTTTTTGTTATTGAGTTGTAGGAGTTCTTTACAGATTCTGGATATTAGTTCCTTATCAGAGAGATGATTTGCAGATGTTTTCTCCCATCCACTGTTGCCGTTGGTAGTGTCTGGTGTGGTCAGCGATGCCTGGCCAGCACCTGGCACAGAAGCAGTCACAGTCCACTTTCCCGCATCCTGGCACCTGTGAGTGGACCAGGCCGGCCCGGGAGCCCCAGCCCTGTGTGGGGGGCTGAGGGACCATCGCGAGCAGCAGGGCCACGTCCATCCATCAGTCACTGAACTAGCGCCAGGCCAGAGGGCGCTGCTGCAGGATGTGAGGTGGGGTCCGTGCATTAGAAAGATTCCTCTGGGAGCTGATGTGGAAACTGGCCTGTGGGCTCGCTGACTTCCCCTGGCCGGTCCCCGCACTCTGGGAGGGATAGGAGTGGCCACAGAGAGACGAGGCCGGAGCGGTGCAGCCTTGGTCTTGGATCCAGTCCTGCCTCCATAATTCACTAGTTATTCGACCTCAGTCACGGGGCTCATATGCATGAGCCTCTGTTTGCCCATCTGTAAACAGGCCATACGTAACCCCTCCCAGAAGGAGTGGCACTCTGTCCCCACAGCTGTAGGTGCCTGGTGTCTAGCAGCTGTGACAGCCGCCGAGAAGGTCAGCTCCTCCAGGCTGGAGAATGCCCCCCCTTCTTCCCCAGGACCCCCCAGCACGATGCATGGGGCAGGTGGCGGGGGGACTGTCAGACTCCCATTTCAGCGGGCTGTGCTCTTTCTGCCGCAGTGGGACTCCATCAACGAGGTGGACGAGTCCTTCCGGCCCATCCACACATACCAGGTGTGCAACGTCATGAGCCCCAACCAGAACAACTGGCTGCGCACCAGCTGGGTGCCCCGCGATGGCGCCCGGCGCGTCTACGCCGAGATCAAGTTCACCCTGCGCGACTGCAACAGCATGCCCGGCGTGCTGGGCACCTGCAAGGAGACCTTCAACCTCTACTACCTGGAGTCGGACCGCGACCTGGGCGCCAGCACGCAAGAGAGCCAGTTCCTCAAGATCGACACCATCGCGGCCGACGAGAGCTTCACGGGCGCCGACCTGGGCGTGCGGCGCCTCAAAGCTCAACACGGAGGTGCGCGGCGTGGGCCCGCTCAGCAAGCGCGGCTTCTACCTGGCCTTCCAGGACATCGGGGCCTGCCTCGCCATCCTGTCCCTCCGCATCTACTACAAGAAGTGCCCCACCATGGTGCGCAACCTGGCCGCCTTCTCGGAGGCGGTGACGGGGGCAGACTCCTCCTCGCTGGTGGAGGTGCGGGGCCAGTGCGTGCGGCACTCAGAGGAGCGGGACACGCCCAAGATGTACTGCAGCGCCGAGGGCGAGTGGTTGGTGCCCATCGGCAAGTGCGTGTGCAGCGCCGGCTACGAGGAGCGGCAGGATGCCTGTGTGGGTGAGCGCGCCCCGTGTGGGCTGGCAGGGGGGCTCAGGCGGGGCAGGCTGCCAGGGTGTGTGTGTGGGGGGGGGGGAAGGGCGCACCACAGTCAGCAGGCATCTGGGTGGTGCACACAGCACCTGGGATAGTGGGTGAACCTCCCGTGTTTCTGGGTCAGCAAATGCACCGGCCAGCTGTGTGTGGTGGGGGGCAAGGAGGGAAACACACTACAGCCAGGCGGTGCCCTCTGTGGCATGTGGAGAGGTAACCCTACAGGACCCTGTGTGGTTGGGGTACTCCTGGGTGCACCCCTGTGCTAGGGAACAATGCGGTGAGCTGACTTAGGTCGGCGTTGTTCTAAGCACCTTTCACGTACTAACTTATCCCATCCCACCGCCACCTATGAAACAGAAACGACTATCGTCCTGGTTTGTGGACGAGGAGACGCACAGAGAGGCAAAGTGACTTGACCCAAGGTCACACAGCTGGGGAGGGACAGGGCTGTGATGTGAACCCAGAAGTCTGGCTCTAAAGTCCGTGTTCAAAACCACTAAACTGCTAGCCTGTGGGGTGGAGGGAGGTGGCGCCAGGCCCGTGAATGGGTGCCGTGCGGGGCCATTGTGAAGGTCTGCGGGCAGGGACACCAGGGAGAGCTGTCCAGGTGGGGCATGTCACCGGGGCACCTGCAGCACCTGCTGTGCTCAGGGGGATCTTACTAAGGGCCTTGGGAGAGGACAGCCGAGGGCACCTGGGTCATGAACTAGCATGACACCTGCCGCCACAGGGGTACTGCTGGGGTTCCCATGTCAGGGACCAGGAGCAGGGCCGACCTCAAGCTGTGTGTGTGTGTGTGTGTGTGTGTGTGTGTGCGCACACGTGTGTGTGGTCAGCAGACCCCCACATGGCACAGTGCAGCCGAGCATCCCACGAGCCCAGGAACACTGGGAGAGCAGGTGTGGACAGACAGCTGGTACCCCAGCTGGTACTGGTCTCAGTCTGGTTGCCCTCTGCCCTTCCTTGGCCTCCCCGGGGGCTGGACACATGGCAGCTCGGCCACTCAGCACAGTGAAGCCTGCTGTGGGGACCAAGGTCATTCTCTGGGACCAGGATCGTCCATCCAGCTACCAGTCCCTTTCCCGCCCCTCTCTGGGGCTCTCTGGTTTCCTTAAAAATCTTTCTTCACACTCCTAACTGCTACGAGTCTTCACTGCTCCTGGATCCTAGACTCAAAGCGCCTTCTGTGACATTTGCCTGTTTCGGGGTTTGTTCTACCCTCTGTGGCCTAGTGCACCGGGCTCCCCAGGTCCCCAGCCTCTCCTGGTCCCTGTCACAGACATCCCTGTATTTCTCAGCTCCCGGCTGGGTAATAATAATAATAATAACAGACATCCCTGTTGCCTTGACAGCTTGCAAGGGGATTCCTCAGCCATCAGTTCATTTGCTCATTGTAGCAAGGCAGGTATTACAATTCCATTTTATAGATGGGAAAACTGAGGCTCAGACGGTCGGGTCCCCTACTGAGGTCTCACAGCTGGCGAGAGGTGGAGCTGGGACCTAGCCTGTCTTGCTCTGAGCCAGGGGAAGGCATCTAACCTATCGCTGGCCCACCCCAACTGCTTTTCTCAGCAGAGCTGGCTTCCAACACCCCCTCCTTCTGTAGGGATAATAAAGTCCTTTAGAGACGATTTTTTGAGCATTTGCCATGTGCCAGGCACTTAGTGATTCTTACACATCATGTTAGCTACTCATTCTGTGGAGCATCTAACTGTGTCCCAGGCCCCGGGGATATAGACAGGGAGTCCCCGCCTTCAGGGAGTTCACGCAGTTTCTCATCCTCAGGATAGTTCTCGAAGCTAAGTATTATGTCCCCACCTTACAGATGCGAGACATTGAGCCCCTCAACTTCAGTCACACAGGAGGGATCGGATGCCAGGTGCCTCACTCCCGAGCCCTGAACTGCTTCCCGTGTCCTCGAAGCCCCGCCTCCCTCCTCCCGGGGTAACACTCAGACAGTAACTGGCTCACCAGCAGGTGGACATCTGTCAGCCGCTGCCCCCAGCTCTGGGTCTGTCCAGCCCCCAAGGACACACAAGCCCCTTGCTTGTCCTGTGTGCGCTGAGGTGCGCTCGCCCGTAGGAGGGAGTCCGGTCCTCCTGACGTCAGGGTTGGGGCCTTGCTCAGAGGTACTGCTCCGGCCTCCTTAGACAGAGGCGGGAAGAGGAGCCCAGAGAGGGACTGTGTCTTGCCCAAGGTCCCACAGCATGTCAGGGGCAGGGCTCTTGGTGGAAACCCCAAAACCTGAGCAGCGGAACCTCCCAGGGCCATTTCCTGGTGCTGCTGGCGTGGCAATAAAAAATAAAGAGAAGGCAAAGCAGGGCCAGGGAATTGCAGCAGATTTTGAATTTTACATTTAAATCACAATACACACGATGATGCCAGTTGCAAGGTAATTATAGGTTTTATAGAAAATATTAATTCACGGTACCCTGCAGGCAGCGAGGTTTCAGGACAGAATGCCGGTTTTTTTGTTTTTTTTTTTTAAATTATATTTTATTGATTTTTTACAGAGAGGAAGGGAGAGAGATAGAGAGTTAGAAACATCGATGAGAGAGAAACATTGATCAGCTGCCTCCTGCACATCTCCTACTGGGGATGTGCCCGCAACCCAGGTACATGCCCTTGACCGGAATCGAACCTGGGACCCCTCAGTCCGCAGGCTGACGCTCTATCCACTGAGCCAAACCGGTTTCGGCAGAATGCCGGTTTTAAGTCGCACGAGGAGAGGGTTTCTGATCGTCCTGTGGGTGGGCTTCTGGGATTGTCCACGGAACCTCCTTGAGGAAGCAGCACAGGCCCAGCACTGAGGCCCACGGAAGGGAGGCGGCTGTGTCCCCCCTCCCCACCCCCTCCTTGGTGGGTAGCCTGACCGTGCGGAGATGGGGACCAGTAAGAAGCTGGGAACAGATGGGGGTGCATTTCCTGGGCTTGACTTCACCCAGGAGAAGGGACCTAGCTGGTCACAGCACTGTTTGGAGGCCTGAGACCCACAGAAGAATATCAGAGCCATAAGGAGCGAATGCAGCTTACCAGGGAGGAGATGGAGGCCCAGAGAGGTGAAGTGACTGGCCCCAGGGCACACAGCTAGGGGTGGTGGACTGAGTCAGCTCCCTGACCAGGAAGCTCCCCAGGCCTCACAGTTCCTGACCCAGTGACCTCCCCCACACCTGGCGCTCTCCCCTCCCACCCCTGCCCCAGACAGGGGAGGAGCTCCGAGAGTATCACCCGGGGAGCAGCAGCCCAGCCTGAAGTCCCAGTTCCATCCTTCCTGTCACCCGGACACCGACTATAAATCACCCTCCACCGCCCTAATCATCTTTCTATAAATACCGGAGTCTCATTTCAGAGGGGGAGCATGAACGCCGAGCTCTCTTGCCTCCTGACTGTGTTTAAAATCTGATTTAGAATTAATTTCCTTTGGTCGTCCACCGGCGGACACCTTATTTGTCAAATCTCAAGCTCTTAGCGGGGGAGAAGAGAGAGGTGGCCGGGGCCTCGGGCAGCTGCTGGCCTGACAGGCGGCCTGGGCAAGGTGCCCTCGGCAGGGGCAGGGGCCCCTCCTGGCCCACGGCCACACGGGCCGGGCACACGCAGACTCCGGAAGCGCCCTGGGTCGACGGTCAGGGCCGGGCCCCAGCCCAGAGCTGCTCCATCTGTCTCGGCCATTAATTCCCGGCTCTGCCTCCAGGTCTCTGGGCTCCCCGAGGCCTGGTGATTAGTATTCTTATTAAAGATTATTTTATTTCATTGCGCGGATTAATCTGGCCTTGACACGTTCGAGCCATATGGGGATTAGTGGAGCGTGTGAGAACTGCCCATTGGCGAGCAGCAGAGTGGCGGGGCCATCTCCAAGGCCAGGGACGCCTCCCGAGTTTGCATTCTGGCTGGGGGCGTGGCGAGGGTGGGGGTGACGAGGGCGAGACACTCAAGCTCCCCGAACCTGTTTTCTCTCTGTCAAACAGATGTATTAATGCCAACGACATAGAATTGTAATAACAAGTGCCCGGCAGCATCCTGGCGTGAATGCACTTGTATGCGTTCATGTTATCCTCACATCAGCCCTCGGAGCCCCCATTGTACAGTTGAGGAAACTGAGGCCCAGCAACATGCCCCATGGCACTTAGCTTAGGTGAAGAGGTTAGACAAGAAAAGGAACCCGGGCAGCCTGCACCCCAGGGCTGGTCTTAACTGGCAAGGTCTTAGATGAACTCCGAACGGTCAGGGACTCGGTGAATGAAGACTGTCACGTGCTTCCTTGGTGCCAGGCAACACGCCAGGATGTCACGGCGTGTGTCCTTGTCTGCCCCTCGCGCCTCTGAAAGCTCCCTGAGAGCAGGACCAGCTCTTCCTGAGCTCGGGCCCATAGATACTCGGGTCCATAGATACTCGGGTCCATAGATACTCGGGTCCATAGATGCTCGGGTCCATAGATACTCGGGTCCATAGATGCTCAGTGAATTTGGGTGAAGGAGTAACTGAGGGACAGAATAAGCAAAGAGTCCCTGAGGTGCTGATCGACGTGGATCCGATAATTACAGTGGGGATTACTGTCTGTCACTTCAGCAGCACATTCAACAAATATTTGCTGACCAAGCACAGGGCCCGCTTCCTGGGCTCAGAAGGGAGCTCTTGGGCTGGGCCCAGGACTGGGCCTCCTGGGGGGCTCCTGTGTGCGTGTGGCCGTGTGCGTGTGTGTGTGTGTGTGTGTGTGTGTGGAGGTCCAAAAAGGCTTCATTGAAGAAACGGTTAAAAGGAATCTCGAAAGAGTTTGACAGGTGGACACAGGAGAAAAGGCATCCCAGGAGGAAGGCGCGGCACGCGCAAAGGCTCTGAGGGAAAGAACCTGCGGGTGTGAGGAATGGCCAGTCCTTTAGTTCTGCCTGAGGATCGGGGTTGAGAGGCGGCGCTGAGGGGGCTGCAGGGAGGGCGTGGGGTGCCAGGCTTATGGGGGCCCGTGAGGATTGGAACTGGCAGTGACAGAGTCAGGTGTCCTTATAGGGAGTCCCTCAACCCAGAGGACGCCCGGTCCCGGCACGGCTGACTCGTTCTTGTCCTTTAGGCCACAGCTCACATGTTACCTCCTGTCTCCTTCTGGGGGGAGCTGGCTGCTCCTTTCTTTCCTTTCTGGGAACACCGCAGCCTGTTTCCTGTGTGCCCCCAAATGCCACCCCCAGAAGGCAGAGACCATGTGGATCTGGTTCATGGCCGTGTCTCCAGCTCCAGTCAGTGCCTGGCACCGAGCAGGTGCCCATGCAGCCGCTGGGTTGGGGAAGCAGGGCTGGAGGCCGGGTGTGGAGGCTGCTGAGTCATCCAGGTGAGAGATGAGGCAGAGGCTGGAGAGAGGGCCATGTAGGAAACAAGTCCGTGGCAGCCACGGTGACAGTGACGCGATCTGAGAGGGGCTGGGGGCCTGCGATTCCTGAATGGTCAGCATTGCATGGAGAGCTTATCAAACACAGACTTCCATCCCCCCTCCCCCGCACTCCTGCTCTTCTAACTCCTAGCACACGTGTCTTTTCCAGTGAGTGTCTGCCCACTCTCACTCCCTGTCCCGTTTCATGTCCGGCCTAAGTGACATCCCTGGATTTGGCTCCCCTTTGATTCTTAGCCTCTTAGCCCTGCCCCTGAGGCTGGTGTCTCACTCAAGACCCGTGTCCTGTGATGGACAGGTCCGGGGGGGAGGGGCTGTGGGAGGAGAGGCCCTTCCCTGTGCCCCTTTGGGACTGGGACTCCGGTGTCAGGGTCCCGGCCTCAGCTCTCGCACATTCAACTTACTGTGCAGCCCTGTGTAAGTCACTG